GAGGTCATGAGGCTCGTGTCTCTCCGCCATGAGGTCCCCCTCTGCCATGAGGCTTGTGACCCTCCGCTAAGAAGTCATGAGGCTCGTGTCTCTCCGTCATGAGGTCATGAGGCTTGTGACCCTCCGCCAAGAAGTCAAGAGGCTCATGATCCTCCGCCATGAGGTCATGAGGCTCGTGTCTATCCGCCATGAGGTCATGAGGATCAGCTTCCTCTGCACGCAGATCCCTTCCTGGCGGAGCTTAGTTTAGTGCGCAATTTAAATCCATTTTCTTATTTAATTACTCTGGCCTGATAATGTCCGCCTTGGTACACAGACCAGCAACATGGCCGCAATTCAGGTACTCATTTTTTGTATATGTATTTATTCATTATTGTTGCAGTCTGTGATAATGACAGTAGTGATATTGATAATGATAATGATGGTAGTAATGATGATAATAACAATAGTACAAATGATAATGATGATGGTAATGGTCAAAATGATAATAATTATTATTTCTGTTATTGTTATTATTATTATTATTATTATTATTATTATTATTATTATTATTATTATTATTATTTTCATTACTGTTATTATTGTTATTATTGTCATTATTGTGATTGTGATTGTAGGTATCGTCATCTTCAATGTTATTATTATTATTATTATGTTATTATATTATTATTTTATATTATTATTATTATTATTATTATTATTATTATTATTTTTATTATCGCATTATTTATCATCATCATTAATTGTTATCTTGTCATTATTATTGTTGTTGTTATTGTTATGAATGTTAATATCATCATTGTTATTGTTGTTATTATGATTGTTATTATTGTTATTCTTATCATCACTTGTTTTTTTATTTTATCCTTAAAATTATTATTGTTATTATTAGTATGGTGGTTATTCTATTATTGTTGTTGTTATTATTATTATTATTATCATCATTATTATATTATGATATTATAATTGTTATTATTATTATTATTATCATTATTATTATTATTTTCATATTATTATCATATTATTTGATAGTGAGTGATTTTGTGTGTGGAAGGGAGGGAAAAATATACTTGTCAATGGAAGTTATTCTACGACATTCGATAGATGATAATCCACTTGAGAATTAAGTAAGCAAAACTAATGCACTAAAGTCCCTAGGCTCCCAGATACTAAGAGGCTATAGACACGACCTCAAGTTATCGCATCCAAGTTGCAGGGAAAGCAGGAGTCAAAGTTGCAAGCCTCTTTTTTTTTTTTTTTGCCAAGCTCTTATGAGGTATAAATGAGGATGGAGAATACTGCGATGATCGGTATTGCGGCCAGACAGGCGAGGAGGGCGTCGTAGTCACGGACGCCGATGGAAGAGAGAAGGAAAAGAAGAAAATCGGCGACGGCGGGGAAACAACGGCGCATCGGTGGGCGGGTTAGTGGAGGGGAAGGGGGGAAGGGGGAAGGGGTCAGGGAGTGGGGGCGGTCCATGGCAGGTCAGGATCATGGGCGGGGATGGTGATCGCGGCTAATTACGGTTTTTTCCTCATGACCTTTGACCCGGCCCGTTCGAGAGCGCCGGGTCGTGAGAGGGAGAGATCGCGGGAGGTCGGCGGGGCGATTAGGTGGGCGTAGTTAACCGCCTGATTTTACGGTCGGCGATAATGCTTGCGTGTGCTTTCGGGAATAGGGCGGGGGGGGGGGTTGAGGGGGAGTTGGGAGGGAAGGGTGGGGGGAGGTAGGGGACGGGTGGGGGTGGGTGGGGGAGGTAGGGGAGGGTGGGGGGGGGGGGAAGGGTGTGGGGGTGGAGGTAATGGATGACAGAGAGAAGGGGGAGGGAGGTAGGAGATGGCAGAGGGAGGGGAGGAGGTTGGGTTAGAGGAGGGTGGGAAGTCGGTGGGGGGGTATCGGGGGTTAGGTAAGAGGAAGAGGGGATTGGGGGTTAGGATTGGTACAGGGGGGGGCAGGATGGGTATAAGATGCAGGATTTCCTCTTATGATTATTGGTGATTCGCTAATCGGGGTGGAGCGGAGACGAAGGAGGAGGGGGGGTTGGAGGGGGGGGGGGTTAATGAGCGTTTGTTTGACCTCGCTATTATTATAAATGGTTTGTTTAATATCTTTGTTATTCGATCGTGATGCCCACAATATAATCTGAAATGTTTATTGGAAAATGAGTCACTTTGCTATTCCGTCAGTCAATAACATTATTACTCTTGTTTTTGTTATATTTTCAGTTAATGTTATTATAATTGTTATTGTTGTTATTATTATTATTTATGATATTATTATACTTATTATTGTTATTATGATTATTATTGTAATTATTTTTTATTGTATTATTATTATCATTATCATTGTTGTTATCGTTATTATTAGCATTATTATTATTTTTATCGCTATTCTTACTCTCATTCTTATTATTATAAAAAAAAATATCTAATTACTATTACTTTTATTATTGCTATTATTATGATGATGTATTTATTTGTAGTATTATCATTATGATAATGATCATTATGATTAATATTATTACCAGTATTGTTATTACTATTTTTGTTATTATTATTATTATTAATATTATGATCATCATCAACATAATTGTTGTTTATCATTATTATTGTTGTTATTAGTTTTTTATTATTAATGTTATTATTATGATCATTATCAACATAATTGTTGTTATTGTCATTATTATTGTTGCTGTTATTATATTTATTATTATTAATGTTATTATTATTGTAGTTAATGTTATTATCATCATCATCATCATCATCACTAATAATATTATTGTTATTGATATTATTGTTATTATTATTTTATTATTTTATTATTTCTATTATTATTATTATTTTATTACTTTTATTATTTCTATTATTATTATTATTTTATTACTTCTTATTTCTATTATTATTACTATCATCATCATTCTTGTCATTCTTGTCATTATTATTAATGGTACTAGTAGTAGTTTTTTATTTGTTATTAAATTTTTTAGCTATAGGTATCATTATTTTCTTCTGAACTGTTATAAGTATCTTTATCCTTGTTTTGGATAATTATATCACTATAGTTAGTATTACTATAGTTAGTTGTCACCACTATTTATTTTATCAAATTTTACAAAAGTCGATCTGGGAGAAATGATGTCAACGCCAGAATTCCCATCATTACCAGGTGCAATTTAGTATAAGTATACGGATGGCCATAGATAGGAAAAGGGATTTATCGTTATTTTATGTTACTTGCTAAAACACCCGAGTAGAGTGGAAGCCAATGCTGCCAAAAATAGTTCTCTCGTTCGCCAAAGCGCCGGGAGCATTACGCGCCATGCTGTTGTATGCATTTGTGTGTATGGAGGGAGTTGTTCAAAATGGCATTGGATGGGATATCTTTAGTGGCCGTAATGGCGTACGGAATCGCATTTTATAGAGCTACCTTTTATACCCTGTACAGCATGTTCATTAGGAAGCTATGAAACTGCTTTACAACCATAAAAGGCGGTTATTCGTATAATTGTAAAGATAAGCGCATAGGGTCTGTATTGTGTGCGGACATGGGCGATAAGGGTGTATTTCCATTCTTTTTTTCCTGAAAAAGTTGAATGCATGAATACGTGAATACCTCTTGGGAAATTTCTTGTAACTTCAAGGGGTGATTACATCGGGTAGGTGTGGAAATATGTGTCCTCGCTTTCTCTCTCTCTCTCTCTCTCTCTCTCTCTCTCTCCTCTCTCTCTCTCTCTCTCTCTCTCTCTCTCTCTCTCTCTCTCTCTCTCTCTCTCTCTCTCTCTCTCTGTGTGTGTGTGTGTGTCTGTAAATCATTATCTCTCTCTTTCTGTGCGTGTGTGTCGTTTCTGTGTCTGTAACTCTTCTCTCTCTCTCTCTCTCTCTCTCTCTCCTCTCCTCTCTCTCTCTCTCTCTTCTCTCTTCTTCTCTCTCTCTCTCTCTCTCTCTCTCTCTCTCTCTCTTCTCTTTCTCTTTCTCTCCTCTCTCTTTCTCCTCTCTCTCCTCTCTCTCCTCTCTCTCTCTCTCTCTCTCTCTCTCTTCTCTCTCCTCTCCTCTCTCTCTCTCTCTCTCTCTCTCTCTCTCTCTCTCTCTTCCTTTGTGTGTTCTCTCTTGTGTGTGTGTGTGTGTGTGTCAACGCGTGTGTGTCTGTAACTCTTCTCTCTCTCTCTCTCTCTCTCTCTCTCTCCTCTCTCTCTCTCTCTCTCTCTCTCTCTCTCTCTCTCTCTCTCTCTCTCTCTCTCTCTCTCTCTCTCTCTCTTTCTCTCTTCTCTCTCTCTCTCTCTCTCTCTCTCTCTCTGTGCGCGTGCGTGTGTGTGTGTGTAACTCATTCTCTCTCTCTCTCTCTCTCTCTCTCTCTCTCTCTCTCTCTCTCTCTCTCTCTCTCTCTCTCTCTCTCTCTCTCTCTCTCTCTCTCTCTCTTCTCTCTCTCTCTTCTCTTCTCCTCTTCTCTCTCTCTCTCTCTCTCTCTCTCTCCTCCTCTCTCTCTCTCTCTCTCTCTCTCTCTCTCTCTCTCTCTCTCTCTCTCTCTCTCTCTGTGCGTGTGTGTGTGTTTGTAACTCATTCTCTCTCTCTCTCTCTCTCTCTTCTCTCTTCTCTCTCTCTCTCTCTCTCTCTCTCTCTCTTCTCTCTCTCTCTCTCTCCTCTCTCTCTCTCTCTCTCTCTCTCCTCTCCTCTCCCTCCCTCCCTCTCCATCTCTCTCTCTCTCTCTCTCTCTCTCTCTCTCTCTCTCTCTCTCTCTCTCTCTCTCTCTCTCTCTCTCTCTCTCTCTCTCTCTCTCTCCCTCTCTCCCTCCCTCCTCCCTCCCTCCCTCCCTCCCCCTCCCTCCCTCCTCTCTCTCTCTTTTTCTCGCTCTCTCTCTCTCTCGCTCTCTCTCACTCTCTCTCCCCCACATGCACAAGCTTACTCCTGACGCCATGAGGGACGTCACATCACAGGTGAACGGACAGCCCGAGGGATGCCGTATGCCCGAGCGAGTGGCAGGTGTAGAGGAAAAGGGGAATTGAT